TATGTTTGGAGTATTTTTGTTTTGTTTCGAATTTGTTTAGAACTGTTACTGTATCATCGATCTGTGGAACTCTATTTCAGTACTAATTCACTTGCACTCTTACTTTTTATCTAATTGCTTCGGATTCGATGTGGTGATATGTGAAGCTTCTCTTTATAGAATGCATGATTCTTTTTAGATCCTTCGCCATTAACCCACTGGGAGAGAGAACGAGAGATACTAAAATCTCAGAGGAAATTTGGTAGTTTGACAAAAAAAAAATATAGTTTACGACTGGATATATGTGTGTCAAAAGCATGAGAGTCTTCTTAGCAAAATAAAAAAAAAAGGCTTGAGAGTTTATAAATAAAATAAAAAGAATTTGGTTAGTTGTGGAAATAATTTCTTGGACCCATTTGTGTGACCCGACGTCCGAACCGTTGAAAGAGAGAAAATTTTAGTTGCCGAATTTTTTATTTTCGTGAAATTAAAAAAATTTAAGTTGTCAAAGTGATTTGTTGGACTCGTTGTGTGACTGAGCAGAAATAGATGTATCGTTCACGCTGAGAAAGAATCGCCGTTTGAGTATCAGATTTGAAACATTAGGATCGCAAACGAATATTTGTGTGTTTTATGTTGTTCTTTAGACCCATAATCTATGCTTCCTTTGGATGTGTCATGTGTGAAAAAGATTTGAGGCTTGGTCTTCTGTAGATATCGAGATAGGGATGTTGCGACGAGGGAGTACCGGGCTGGAACGCAAACGCTCCATCTCTCCTGCCCATGTTCATGTCTTTTCTCCCTGAACCGGCGTGGTCTTTAAATCTTGGTCAGTTTTGTCTTGTTCCTGGCCTCAGTCTTTGGCTTAATTTTTCTCTTTCAGTCGCAAAGCATAGTTGATTTAGGGGTTTCGGTAAAGATGATAATGTTTACTGACTAGATCATTTTTATCCGTATGGTCTTTCCGTATGGCTTTTTTTGTTGTGTTAATCCGGTTAGGAGATTATGGTGTTGTTTCTTCATTCTTCTTTTGTCGGTTTTATAGTCTTAATCGAATCGCATCTTTTATCATCCTTCCCTCTTGGTGAATCGATTAAACGGCTCTTTTATCCTCCTCCACTCGAAATAGAAGCCAGGTTTGGTCGAGCCCTTGTTAGTTTTGTTGTGCCCATCAAACCGGTTAAGTGTCGAGCTTGTATCGTCTCAACCGTCCTTGGCAATTTCAGTGGTCCAACCTAACTTTTGGAAGTTCTATTTTGCCATCCTAAAGAGGCGCAAGTATCAAATTTTCAAAAGAGACGATTACAAAAAAATCACAAAAACTCATTTCTAAATACAAAAATGTCATAAACGTGTTTTGGCAGGCAAAAATGTCACTTTGATACTTTTCGGACGAAAATGTCATTTAACTTACT